TGCAACAATTGGTTTTCTTCGGAGGTATATAGTATATTGGGAAGTTTATGGTTGTTATGAATTAATGGGTTTTGAATTTTTTGGGTTAGGGAGGAGCCGGAGAGGAGGGGGGAGGGGGTGGGATAGGGAGGCATGGTGGGGTGGGTGGCCGGTGCGGCGGGTTTAAGGTAGGTTGCAGGTGCTGGTGGTCGTCGTCCTCCACACCTGTATGAGGCAGGTGCGCTGACCGCGCTCTGACGGAGCGGTCAACAAGTGCGCATCACGGGGCGTCGAGCTTCGGCTTGTACTCTGCTAAATGTTTTCTCCCTATTGTCAGAGAGAGAAAGATGGCGTCTTTGTTATTGTACCGCTCTTGTATCTTATATTATCATTGATTCGTTAAGAATAATGAACTATTCTTCTTTAGAGGTAAACATTGAGTATTTCTGCCTATTCAAGGATGAGGTTGGGCATCTTCTGCCCTCTGGAGTGCCCTCCTCCTCCTCTTGGTGCAAGTGTGATATCCGGAGATCTTGATATCTTCTATTGTTCCTGGGTTGTACCTCTTAATGAGGAAGTATTTATGGAACGCTGCGAGAGGTGTGAGTCTGGTGCATGTGTGCTGGCTTGGAGAAATGCTAGCGCTGTAATTCATCACTGGCAACTGGCTCTCAACCGTATGAATGAGAGAAAAGGTGGAGGAGGGTGCCCCTCTGTGGCCCCCAGGGAGGGTAGAGGTACCCTTTTCCCCCTCTTCTTCCCCTTGGGGCTCTTAATCTGTTCTTTCCTCCTCCCCTATCAATCCATTCTAGTATCTGTACGCGCTCTTTCTCTCTCTCTCTTCCTCCCTTTTTTTCTTTGTTTCTTCCTTCCACTTTGACATTTCCCTACTCATCAGTCCCACTTTCCCTGTCCCATTTTCAATCAAAATCTTTATCAACAAATACCTGTACTTGTTTAATTGACTCTAAAGTTTACACCTTTATAAATAATATATATTTAATTATATATAAATATATATATAAATATATTTATAGTAAGAATAGCCTAAAACTGACCCATATAATTACAATTATACAAAGCCCAATATGATACTGAATGCGAACAAGCCTGAATGGTCCCCAGGACTATATGCAACTGAATAGTGAATAGTGGATGACAGTGAATGGATGAAACAATGTACATAATAGCAATTGTTGTGACATTGCTAGCCTAATTAATCCCCGCTCCCCCCCCCCCCCCCCCCGACCCTCCCTCTAGTCTCCTTTCATCCCCCCCTTCATATTATTTTCCTACCATTCCCCACGTCTTAAGCCTACTTTTTCCCTTTACGCTAGGTTTCACTCCACCGCTTTGTGAATGAATGGCCGCTGCTTTGAATGAATGAATGAATGTGTGCCGCCGACTTAATGAATGGGTGTCGCCATCTCCGAATCAATGAATGAATTTTGTTGTTGGGTGGACCTTTAAAAGTCCCCCATCGTTGTAGGACTATAAATTAAGGAACGACACTTGTACTTAATTGAAATATAAAATAAATGTACGCTGTTCTGGATTTAATAATGACTTTGTTTATAGATTTGGAGAGCTGTATATATGTACAGTTTTTGTGTACAACACTTTGTACATTGGTTATAACTTTTGTTTACAACCTCTGA